TTTTTTTTTGTTTTTGTTTGTTTTTTACCTTATTTCCTAGGTACTAATTCTAATTTTTATTTGGGCGGGAGCAGTGTAAAGCTTATTTGTATTCAGTAGTGTATCTCATAGATACAGACGAGGCAAGAAGAGATAAACTGTTTAAAATAGTGTTTATATTGATGGGGGAAGAAAGAGAAAGTGTATTACTTAAAGATATTATACTATATACATTTTGTATATCATCAGATCTTTAAAAGAAATGAAAATAAATTTATTCTTGTTTACACTTGTTTGGTGACTTTAATAATTCCAAAAATCTACCTCACATTTCCAGAGATCAGTGTTGTTTGTTTTAATGAACTGTTTGTCCACATTTTTTTTTCATATGCTGTTACTGTGTTTAAAGTGGTCTTGGTTTCTTACTGTGTCTTTTCCCTTTTTTACTGTTTTCTAGAAGTACAGAATATGAGTTGTCCCTTAATGTTAAATTTTTCCCCCACTTGATTTTTACTTTATATTTGTTTACAAACATAATTCTTAAGACATTGTATATATCATTCATGTATACTGTTTCACACATTCCTACATTAACATTGTCATTTTTGAAATTGTGATTTTAATGAGAGTTTACAGAAAAGTTGGATTTTCATTCATTCCTTGTACATTTTCCTCCCTAACCCCCAATCCACTTTAAGAAAAAAAATTCATTCATTGTTGCATCATTTCCTCCCTCCCCCCCCCCACCCCCCCACAAGTTCATTTTGTAATGCACCTCTAATTTTGGACACTTGTCGGGCAGATACTGCCTAATCGTATTTTCCTTTTAAACAATTCTTTCCTTCATCTGTTCCAATGCAGTGTTCATTATCTTCCCCCTCTTTTCCTAGTTTACTCCCAACACCCATCTCAATCCTATTTTATATCAGTGGGTTTATGCACTATTTGTCCTTTTGTGATTGAGATATTGCAGTCACCATAAGGTCCTCCAGAGTCACCCATGTTGTGCAATGTTTTCCAAATTCCTTGTTTTTCATTGCTGCATAGTATTTATGTGAATGTGCCAATTTTTTTAGCCAATCATTTATTGATGGGCATTTGGGTTACTTACATCTCTTTGCTGTTTTAAATAACACAGCAGTAAACATGGGTGTGCATAACATTGTATTTTAAATAATCACTCATTCCTTCACACACACACATTCACTCACCAAACTCTGTTATCCTAGTGGTTTCTTCTCCCCAACCTAAGCCCCGCTCCTCTTCCTTTTTCTGTATTTTTATCTATATCTTCCTAACTATTCTTCTGTTTTTAACAGTAATGTTGGAGAAGATGTGGAGAGATTGAAACTCTCATCCACTGTTGGTGGGATTATAAAATGGTACAACCTCTCTGGAGGGTAGTTTTGCATTTTTTCAGAAAGCTGAACATAGTAATTCCCTGTTGCATTGACAAGAATATACCCCAAGGAAAATGGAACTGGCACACAAATGGAGATTTGTACACATATGTTCATGCCTACATTAGTCAAAATAGCAAGAAAATAGAAACAGCCCATATGTTCATCAACAAATGAATGGATTAAGACATCATGGTACATTTACACTATAGAATACTACATAGCACTAAAGAGCAATGATTTTTTTAAATATGTATGACATGGGAGAGTCTAAGAGAACATTATGCTGTGTGAATAACTCCGTCTCAAAGGAACAAATACTGCATTGTTGTTACTATGTGCCATTGAGTTACCTGTGACTCCTAGCAACTCTGTATACAATAGCTCTGAACGCTGCCCTATCCTGAGCCAGTCTCACTGAAACAACTTACTCCCATTGCCCCAATTACTGTATCAGGCCATCTCAACTGGGGTCTTCCTCTCCTGCGCTGTCCCTCCAGCCTTCTAAGCATGATGTCCTTCTCCAAGGACAGCTCTCTCTTAACCATGTGCCCAAAGTATGTGAGATGGAGCTTTCAAATCCTTGCTTCCGAGGAGAAACTTGGTTTCACCCTCTCCATTATTTATGCTTAATTTTATGTGGATGTGTGTGTGTGTGTGTGTGTGTACCATCAAATCAGATCTGACTGGTACAGGAGATTGCCCCTCCTTCTCCAGCAGAGCACCTGGTGGATTCGAACTGCAAACGTCTGTCATTGCAGTTGCAGCTTCTTGCCACTAGGCCACCAGAGCTCCCTCTATGTGGATTATTTTTGTAATCTCCCTGTTCTTGAGCTGATTCCAACTCATAGTGACCCTCCATCGGGTTTCTAATCTTAATGACAGCCCATTGCCTCATCTTTCCCTTGTAGAGTGACTGTGGGTTCCAACTCCCAGCCTTTGGTTAGCAACCTAACACGTAATGCTCTCCACCACATTTCCTTACTAGCTAACATTTATTTAATTCTTAATGTATCCTAGGGATTCTCGGAATCCTTCACTTTCATGAGCCTACTTAATCCTCATAAAAATATTATGACAGGCTTTATTATCCTGTTCTCAATGTCATTTCAAATAAGAATATTCACATTTAACTAAAGGGTTATTAAAATATTGACTCTTCCCCATAGAAAACTACAGTATTCAAGATAGTGTGGTACTGGCATAATGATAGACAAGTCAATTGGATAAAATTAATTAAAAGCCTCAGATAGGTGGTCAATTTATTTTCGCTATAGGTGCCAAAATAATTCACTAGGGAAGAGTAGTCTGCTCAATAAATCATATGGGGTTATTACATATCATGCAAAAAGAAAATGGATCCCTCCCACTATGGAGCTCTGGTGGCCTAGTAGCAAGAAGGTGCGCTGCAATCCCAAAGGCGTACAGTTTGAGACCACCAGTGGCTCCATGGGAGGCTAGGCAATCTACTCGTGTGATAAATGGCCTCTGAAAATGTGCTAGAGGGACAGCTATGTGTTGATTCTGACTCAGTGATACTCAACAACTTAACAACCACCACACACTATATACAGAATTGACTGAAGATGGTCCAAAGACCAACATATGAAGAGTTAAAAAACTGACAACACACAAGTAGATGTTTGTGACCTTGGATTAGGTGATGGTATCTTATGTAGAATACCAAACGTGCAAGCAACCAAGCACAACAACAAAAACAGTGAATTCCATCAAGACTGAATATTGTGCTCCACAGTACACAAAGGAGAGGGGTGTAGAATTCAACCTACAGAATAGAAAAAATACCACAGATCTTAACTGGAATTTGTATTTTGACTATATAAAAAACCTCTTAGGAATTCAAAGCAAAGAAATGAGCTAAAAAATAGGGATGAGAGAAGGCTTAGGGAATATGGATTAAATGCTGACTGGTAAATAGTACATGGTATATTGCTGTGGGTTTTTTTTAAGTAAACTACTGGTTCACTAATTGTCTAATAGAGCTGAAATTGGAGGATAAAAAGGAGAGACCTCTTTCAAGCTGAGAGAACGGAAAAATTTAAGCCTCAAGTCAACGATACTGAAAGATGCTATGGACAATATATTGAATGACCCAGAAAGCATCAAAAGAAAATGGAGGGGAAACAGAATCATTGTACCAAAAAGAGCTGATACTGGGAAAAATTCAGCAAGTACCATATGAACAGGAGCCAGTGGTCATGAAGGAGGAAGTAGGGCCTCAGGAATCAATGGGAAGGACTAATGTACTTGTTTCAAGTAACAGACACAGCCCTGGATGCCCTCACCAGTCTTATGTCGGGAAATTTGGAAGTTAACTTTCTGGCCAACAGATTTGAAGTCTATATTGGTTCCCATTCCCAAGGAAGGTGATCTAACTTAATTTGGAAACTATTAAAACAATATCACTAGTAAACAAAATACTGCTGAAGATCACTCAAAAATAACTAAAATAGTAAATTGATGGGGAACTGCCAGAAGTTCAAGTAGCATTTTGAAGAGCCATGGCACCAGAGATGTCATTGCTGATATCAGATGCATCCTGGCTGGAAGTAAAGTATACCACAAGA